AGGAAACACCAACTGTTACTCACACAAACACACACACACACACACACACACACACACACACACACACACACACACACACACACACAGGGCTGGAGTGGGACTCCTTTTTAGCTCTGGAGTTTCAAGCCTTAGAACGGCCCACATCAGTCGACGACTGACTATGTTAAAATAATGTTATTTCCTATTCAGTTTCAAATAACACTAACACACTAACACGTTTTTCAAGGACACAGGTGCCTTACAGTTTCACATTTTTTATATATATATAAATATGAACAAAATTATTTCTTTATAGATTTCCAGTCCTTTGTAATGTTTGTAATAAGTAACCCAAACAATCTTAAATGTCTTTACACTAAAAATGAAAAAATGATTTCTTTCTGGTGAGGGTTGAACTTGGGTTGCTGGCTTCGTAAACGAACGTGCTGATCACTATACCACGATGGCGCTATTGAACTGATGTGATGGGAATAAAGAATAAGTATTGTTATCTGCTGCTATTGATGTCTACTCTTTTTTTTTACCCTACTCTTTCTCCTCTTTTTAGATTTCTGATCAAGTTATGTCAGACTTATTAATGTAGTGAATCATTTGATTTTTATTAAGCAGGTGTAATAATCATTAATATGAATTAATATTCAGTAAGGTGCCGCTGTTTGAGGTGAAATGATAGTTACATCATCATTAACCTGCGGGCTGCAAAGCGCGCGCGCACACACACACACACACACATTTACCTGTGTTTTATAAATAAATAAATAAATATATATATATATATATATATATATATATATATATATATATATATATATATATATATATATATATATATATATATATAGAGAGAGAGAGAGAGAGAGAGAGAGAGAGAGAGAGAGAGAGATAGAGATATATATATATATATATATATATATATATATATATATAGATATATATATATATATATATATATATATATATATATATATATATATATATATATATATATATATATATATATATATATATATATATATATATATATATATATATATATATATATACATTTTTCATTACAGGTCTATGTTTATCATTATACGCTATACGTTATAGGATACACTTTGTATAGCAATGAAATTATAAGTGGCCTGTAAGGACATATTTCATATAAATCATAAAGGTTAGAATAAAAGACTTATCGACAGGAATTCTGTCCTTTGCTGGGTCTAGACGTTCTTCAAAATGCATGCACTCATCATCAGAGTCGCGATTTTCCTCTGAAAGGAGAAGGTAAATTCTTTGTCGCTGTTTAGTACAGTGCTTTTTCACCCGAGTAACGTGCCATCATTCAAACAAAATTAAGTAACTATAATAAAGCTTGTCGT